AACATTCTTTATGAAATTAAACGAAAAACGCAAAGATGAGCAAAAATAGTCATATATGTAAAAATTGAAACTTGAATTCAATTGAGTTTTCAAGTTTCGAGTCACGAAAAGGCTCACACTACATGTGTCTTGATATGAGTGCCAGAGAGGAACTCACAGCAGAGCTGGAATGACAGTATTTATACTTAGACTTTTGCTAGTCATTATACAGCTATTATGCTACAGATACACCTGGCATGTTGTTACAGAATGAAACTTGAAGAGAGCTTGTTCAATTGAATTCAGATTTCAAGTTTGACATTACCATGGACAAATTCATTGGGTGTTGATGATAATACCTTCTTTCTTGATCGATCGTCTTCACAACGCATTGTCAATGATCGAAGATTAGACAGTCTATTAAGATGATCAAGAACATTTGTTCGATTTTTAATATCAATTAAAAGAACTGCACACTGGCATTCAAGTGATGACATAGCCAACGCAACACATTCTTCACTGTTAAAATATCGAAAAAATATTGCTATCGATAGAAAATCAAGTTGACGAATTGATGGACGTGCGTCTAAGAAATAGTTCGAAATGTAGAATCTCAAAGAATAGAAAAGACATGTTCGATCAATTAATGTTTGCAATTTAGAGCGAGCAGAGTCACTTCGTACTGTTACATGAGGTGTAAATTAATTTATCTAATGATGGAATCATAAACCAAAATGTATTCTATAATGGAAGTTCGATTTCGAAATGACAAATGTTAGGAACAAGAGCAGTGAATTGAATTGAGATTTTTCAATGTTTAACATAGAATTACAGATATCAAAAGTTAGTCACATGATCATATGACCAGTAGTCTATGTCATGCGGACATGTCGATTTAGAATAGCATCTAATTATGTAGTTAAATTTTTCGAAAGCATATGATAATGTGTAAAGCATGCCGTCATAGTCAACAATGTTTAACTGCTAATCACATCGAACAAACCATCTATGCTCTTTAAGCCAATTTAGTCGAAATACTTTTATTTCAAGTAAATGATTAACAAAGATATTTTTTTCATTCATTTTCATTGATGTAATAGTTTGTGCCGATTTATTAAATAACATCAGTTCGTCATTCTTTGAAAAACATTTATCATCAACCTTTTGGAAATAAAAAATGAGAGTTTTAAGAAGATCATTTATGGAAGGGTCATTTGCAGCTATTCATTTTGATTAGATTCCTTGATTGTTGTATAGAGTTGTCGAATGTTAAGTATATGTTCAAAACAAATGAAATAGTGTTTTTAAGCCACAACGAATATTTTCAATGGATAGAGATTGAATTGATGATGATATTATTGATATTTCAAAGAACCAATTGTCATGATGCAAAATGCTATCTAGACTAAAATGGATTAATTTCGGTAGACTTCAAACATTGTTGATAAAATAGCAAAAAATATCTTGTAAGCAATGTACGTTTCAACTTGTTTGGAAGAGTTCTCATTCTCAAAACTTTTATTTTTATCAAACGACTGAAAGAACGTACTTCTCCACGCGCTAAAACTGCCAGATCTTTCTATATATTATATCTATGTAGAAGAAAAAAGTCGATATGTCACTTTGACTGTATGTAAGTTGCAATATTTTCTCATTTTAAGCGACTCTTCATTCAATTTTTGATGAAGTCATGTCATTCTTGATTCATTTAGTTTCAAGAATCATGTGCACTTGCTTCTTGTTTTTCAATGGAAAACAAGTAGCCAGTTGTCGCCAACTTCAATCTAACTAATCCATTCTTAATACAAAAAAAAAGCAACTATTTTTGTAATGATGATCAAAAAGTGAATTAAACATTGTTGAAAATGGTCGTTATTGGGTAATGTCTTTGCAACAGTGTAAATTTATAAACACACTTCATCGTATGATAGTTTACGAGCAATAGTTTTATTAAGAGATATAACTATAAATTTATGAAGCGTATAACATATAATGTCAAAGTATGCATTTGTAAGGATATTGAGTCATTTCTCTTTTTATCATCAACTAGAGCAATAAAATAACGTTTTAAAACATTTTTCTCGTCAATACATATATAAAATGTGACAAGAAAGGTAAAAGAGAAAGCAAACAAGGCTTCGACCGTGTTTATACATTATTTCATAAAACAGGTAAAATATTATCATCATTTCTAATAAACATCGACAAAAATCCACATGGGCTTATCGCATGCTGGACAAATGTCTCTTCACACCGTTATCATCGATGCTAAACTTGAGCCAGCTAAGATCGATTTTCCGTTGGCTCAACCACAATCGTCTGTAGCAAATCACTGGCTCTTTAAAGTTGAAGAAAATCACGATATTATTGGCAAATCATCTGAAAACTATTCGTCATTATACACAATCACCAATGGACCACACACTGAAACTTCAACAAATGCCGTTCTGCAAGCATTTGTTTCGGCCTACAATCAACATCATGATATTGTCCTCTCGCCTGATGACATGTGGATGATGGTATGCATGCAATTTGCTGACTACGTTAATGCGAATGCTGAACAACTACGCTCGCTTTTTGTCGAACATCATGATGGTAAAATAAATTTGACTGTTGAAGATTTCCAGAGAGAAGACGAATGGGATAACTTCTTTGATGCAATGAAAGTGAAAATCATGCAGAATGTCAAGGATGATGTATGTCGTGTGTTGACCGCAGATTTTACGACTACAGGCAAAGTCGAATCAATTCTCTCAAGTGCATGTATCATGCATGCATTCAAACCTTACTTTAACTATCGTCGAATGAGATGCATCTGTGGAATTCGACAAGTGCATTTTATGGGTAAGTACTATCACTTATTTATACTCGGGTGTTGGTGTGGGTGTCAATCCTCTCTTCACTCACACCCACGTCGACACCCACATCCAGGATGCTACTGTATCCACAGTGAAACCCAATGTAAAAAATCGCTTCGGAATAATGAGGTTGTGTCGTATTTCCTGAATTTGTCTTCCATTTCATTACCGAATCCTGTCAGCTTCATGTTATTTGCGGCTGCTTCCTATGGAAAGATTAGTGTAACTGGTCAGAATTGAGTCAGAAAGGCGTAATTTCTGAACGAGGCCAACATTTTTCTCAGGCCAATTCCAAACCATAGAATGCCGAATTTGGAATCTGTAACTGTACCAGAAACGATCAGAGACGGTATTTTTTGGGATGAAGTATCTGGCACAAGAAGAAGTCTCCAAATATATCTAGTGGCTTTTCAACAGTTGTCGGTGGAATCTGCCCGAGAAAGTTTGACGACTTCAATTCCGGGATACTGCTTTAAAGAAATTACAGAAATTACTCGGATTCGGTTGGTTTCCAGTGTTAAGCATAGATACGACTCAATCAAAATTGTGATATAAGCGTAAGATCTATTCGAATTTTTCAACTTATATTTTAAAATATACATTCGTGTAGCAGACATTAGTTGAAGTTCGATGCATTTAACAACTTTCTTATGACGCATCTTTTTAAACGGCGAGTTTACGTTCATTAGGATCGTAGTGAAACTTGTTTCTGTGTGCCAAGTCATTTTTTGTATGTAACAAATTCAATATTTCCGAAGCATTCAAAGTCGATCTAGTAGACGATTAGTGAAGAATATTGTAATTACTTTGTTTTAATATAATAATGTCCCACTATGAGTTTGACTGAACTGCTGAATAATCTATCAGATGTTCTTTTGTATAGGAACTCTAAATGACTGGCAGTCACTTTATATCAAAACACAAAAATTACAAGCATTGAGCAATAGCACATTTCGCACTTATATAGATGGCGTTTTGCCGATCTTTGACGAGTTTATTAAAACTTATCAAGGCAATGTGAATAAAGAGTTCTGGATTCAAGTGTGTGATATTACACGAGACACGCACTTCAGATATGGTAGTAGAGGATCCGGAAAATCGATCACTGGCTGGGTAGTGCAGCTATTTGGCTTGAAGGCTAATGATGTTTGCAATCGTGTCGATATCAAGTTGCCTAATATTCGTGTACCAGTCACACTCGAAGACAAGAAAACTGGTAAAGTGACGCAATGTTATATTGTCGGTGGATTTCATGGTATTTATTCGACTGAGAATCGACACAAGCCAGTAATGAGTCTGTCGGTTATTCAAGAGACAAAGGCATCTATGTCGAAAGAGAAAATGTCGGCTAAAGACGAAGATGAACTTAATGATGATGAGTAGACGTTGTTGATGCTCAACAGTTTTACATAAACCCTTCGAAGTTGAACAGTATTTATTTATTTGATAAAATGTTATTTGAGACTTATTTTATCAATTCCCATTATTCATTATTCCTTGCTTTATTTTAAATAAAACTATACAAATAAGAACTATCAGAGTTAAGTTGTTGGTCGAGATGGATGTGGGTGTGAAGCGAAGAGATATGCCCACACTCTATGTAATGAGTTGTTTCATGTAATTAAAAACTTTTTTTTGTTCACTGATAGGGTGAAGATCAGCTAAAAGTCGACGATCTTATCGTGATTTATTTGTCTGATTAATTGTGAGATTATATCGCAATGCAACCATTAATAAAGGTAATTTTTGCCGATTCCACTTTGATTTTTATTAAAAACTGCGATTTATCAATGATCTTGTATGATTTATGTTTATACTGTACCAAAACACTCTGCTATATTGTTATTGACTAATGACCATCATCTCTTTGATAAATGATAAACCTAATACACATGGTAGTGACAATCACAACGTTTTTCAAACTATATTGCAAAAATGAAATCGAATACTGCGTGATAATTATCGAAGATAATGCTTACCAACTATAAATGCTGTCTTAATAAAAACTTGTTCGATAAATATACTAAACGAAATCTTTTCTAAAATACTTTGATTTTTATT